TAAACTACAAAATAAACTACTTAATACATTACAGGAACTTATTTTATACTAGACCTTGTCAGTACATGTCACGTTATTAGTTTGGGTGTGAACAACAAAACACCCGCAAGTATTTTCGCACAGGATATGATAAAATTCTGTGCTAGAAAGTGGTTTTTGAAGGTGTTTTGGGGGCTCACGGTTTTAACCTTGAATTCAAAACCTTGTAGAAAACTACTTTTTGCGAAAGCGAAACGAGCTATGTGCTCACATGGATATTTCGCAAAAAGTAGTTTTCTACAAGGTTTTGAATGCAAGGTTAAAACCGTGAGCCCCTAAAACACCTTCAGAAACCGCTTTCTAGCACAGAATTTTATCATATCCTGTGCGAAAATACTTGCGGGTTTTTTTGTTCACACCCAAACTAATAACGTGACATGTACTGACAAAGTCTAGTATAAAATAAGTCCTGTAATGTATTAAGTAGTTTATTTTGTAGTTTATTAAGTAGTTTATTTTGTAGTTTATTTTGTAGTTTAATTGACTCAATTGATCGCAAAGTGATGCGCAGAGTTGTTCGTAATTTTGTAGATACTTATTACAGTAAAAGTAAAATTAGAGTCCAGAGTCCAGGGTCCACGGTCCAGAGTCCAGAGTCCAGGGTCCAGTCCAGTCCAGTCCAGTTCCAGTCCAGAGTCCAGTCCTGGTTTTAGCCTATGCCGTTTATTTTGTAGTTTATTTTGTAGTTTAATTGACTCAATTAATCGTATAGTGATGCGCATAGTTGTTCGTAATTTTGTCGAGACTTATTACAATAAAAGTAAAATTAGAGTCCAGGGTCCAGAGTCCAGAGTCCAGGGTCCAGAGTCCAGAGTCCAGGGTCCAGAGTCCAGTCCGGTCCAGAGTCCAGTCCAGTCCAGAGTCCAGTCCAGAGTCCAGTCCACAGTCCAGAGTCCAGTCCTGGTTTTAGCCTCTGCCCTTACAAGTAACGTATTTCGCAAGATTTGCACCATTTAGGTGTTTACAGTCACACGTTTTCGAACGTGACTAAAAATATTTTCCACACGCTTTTTGTCAATTTATGATATTCACGGCTAACTAGCCAAAGAAAACAACATCAGCGCGAGGTTGATAATTTGCTTGCAGACAATAACAGTATTACCCAAGTAAGACAATTTTTATGCATGTTTATATTTTTATGTCTTTTCATTTTATATATATTCTACACTCCGCATTTTTCACACTCGGAAAAAGTGAAATAATGCTCTACTTAAGCTACAACATACTGAGAGTAATGTTTCACTCGTTTGATTCTTTTGTTTACCTTTTACCTTTTTGTTTTTAACGTTAAAACCGTGAAGCCCCAAAAACACCTTCTACCACAGGATTCGAACAGAATTTTAATCGTATCCTGTGGTTATATTCTTGTGGGTGTTTTGTTGTTCACACCCAAACTAGGAACGTGACATGTTCTGACAAGGTCTAGTATAAAATAAGTTCCTATGTATTT